TTTAGGGGGTGGGTGGGCAATTTGGTCGTTGTCGAACACTTAACGGAAGAAACTTGGCTGTCTTGCATGTCACACCTTCCTGGTTTGCAATTGTGTTGCAGAAAAATCAACAAAACAAAACAAAACACAAAAAAAAATTAGAAAAATCTCCTGGGATTGTTAAATATCAGCAAATTGATGGCATCTTTTCTTTATCCTTCCTGCCCCACACCTCTTGTTTCTGATTGTGAATGGCTGGTGTATATTCACATCTTAATGAGCTTTGGTAATTGTGGCACCTACTTCAATGCAATTAACGTATCTTTTGGGCTGATTCAAGGACTATTATTTCCCATGACTTCTAAATTTCCAATAATGCATAGTAGCACTTTTATTTTTCCCTGCTTTTTCTCTTACAAGGAAAAAAAAAATGACCGTTGGCTGGTATCTGTGATACTGCCTTGCGATGCTGTTTCTTGGCTGCATCAGTCGGCGCTCTGAGCAGTGCTGTGCTGGAAGCGTACGGACAACCCGTGCTTGGAAAGGAGCAGGCTCAAACCAATTCCTAGCAGGAGGCAAAGCTGTGGCTACTACCTTCTTCTGCTGACTAGGGAGTATAAATCGATTTATTTTATTATTTTATTTTAGGTAGTATTCTGTCGAGGGAGTGGTGGAGTCTTGCTGCTGTACGTGTTCATTGTGCAGAACTTGTAAAGCTGTTTCATTTAGGATCATGATAGTGACTTTGTAGCTGCAGTCCGTTCCTGGGCATTTCAGTCACGTCCCTGCTGACAGATGTGGCTGTCTCTTCTGGTTGTAATGCGCACTTGCTTACAGGTTTTAAAAGCTGTTTCCACAGAAATAGGACAATCGCTGCTATGCCATTCTGTTAGCGTAGCTGCAGCTTTTCCCTTCTGAAGGGGATATTTATCCCCTTCTAGCACAGATGTAGGTAAATCCTGGCTCCCACTGGGACATGGCTGTTCATTTTGATCACCTCTTTTTCCGTTCTTGATTTCTGAGCAGTATCTTTCTCTCTTTTTTTTTTTTTTTTGAAATAGAAACCTGGAGATGTCTAATGCCAATTGCAGTGTTACCCAGGGGAACGTGTTCTGAACACAGAACCAGCTGTTAGCAGAGAGGTGAGAGGTGTTTTGAGAGGAGTTCATAAAAGGTACAATGAATACATCTTCATACCTGACGCAGAGCGAGACCCGTGCTAAAGCTCCTGCTGGGGAGCTTTGACTTAAACAACTGCTCTTGTGTATCCCCAGCATTTTTCGCTCTAAGGCTATGGACACTTGATCAAAGTACGTTCAGGAACCTCCACTGACATTTGAGGAGCTTTTTTAAATTATCTGAATGAGGGCATGGTAAGAGCACACCCTCACTTCAGAAATAGGTGTGAAGCTGCAGTCACTTGGTGGCATTTCACCACGGGGCCGTGCCTCAGTTAAATCCTCTTGTGAGACACCTGCTTCTGGCAGGTTTTAGAACAGGTGCTTTAAAATCAGTCTTTACTGTATATAAGCAATTTCTTCACTGGTAAGAAGCTTCTTTTTGTTACGTTCCATGCTTTATGGGTAGTGTGAGTATCCGATATGAATGTCAAAAGAGAACTTGTCTTTCTCACTGTGTACATGTCGTTTCATTTTCCTTTGTCACCCTGAAAAACTGCTCTTCAGACTGTTTCGTATGTTGTTCATTCTGATGGATTTTTGCTCCGTGTGTAATCACATCCCTTTTACAGAAGTCAGAGCAACGTTTTCAAATGTCTGTGTTGACTGGAGAATGAAGTCCCACTTTCCGAAGGGAGCCAGGCATTGAGGAAACTGTGTCACTCGGACTAGGTACTCCAGTTACTGGGCTTCTAAACTAGCTGAGTGGTTTTGGACAGTTTTCCTTACAAAAATCTCCCAAAAAGCTACGTAACATTTCTGAAAGCGGTGCTTTTATCATAACCCATCTGATGGGCTGGGATAGATTGCAAAGTTGGAGATGGCTCGTTCAAAAGAACGGCACTACCTGAAGCTTGACGGTGCTTTTCCTTTCCTCCTCCCAATAACGCAGCAAAGATGCTGACTAAACTCAGTATAAACTATTTTGAAAGTTTGACACTCAAAGCAGTGAAATAAATCAGGGTAAAAGAATTCTGGAATCGTGCTATGTCTCCAGGAGACACTGTTAAGGAGTCTGTGACTTTACTGACAATCACTAGTGGTTCTACTTTTAAATTGATTTTAACTTTTCTGGTCCTTTATATATTACGATCTTTCTGGCCCACTTTGTCTTAAGGCAGAACTTACAGGGCTGGAGGAAAAGACTGTCATTTTAAGAAGATATTTCCAAAAGAGATTAAAGCTGGGGGCTGAGCTTTCACTCATGAAAGAAATGTGTTTAATTTTCTCACGTCTTTTCAGGAGTTGCAGTTTACACACCTGCAGGGGTTTTTTTTTTGTCTTCTTGTTATGCTGTTGGCAGAAACTGTTCTGTGTCTTGCTGGTCTTTGCTGCTATGTTGAAACGCCTGTGTTATATACTTGTGTGTTTGTGGGTAGCTCTGGAATGTGGCTGATGGTGCATTACATAGGTGTGGGAAAGCGCTCGTCTGCCGAGGAAATCAGGCTGCAAAATCCAGCCTGAAATGGCTTCACCCCCAAAAAGGCACCCATTTCGGACAAGTGCTGAGCGCTCTGAGTGTCCTGACAGATGTGCTGATTGGTTAATGCTGTACAGCGTGGAGAACCTGCTACTCACAGAGAGCAGCAGGAGAATGTAAATGCCCCTTCTGTGAACAGTGCAATACGTAATGGCCACTGTGTGTCAAACAAAAGCTTGGTAGTGTGCAGTGGAGAGGCTGCTTTGAGTGAATGGAAAGTTAGGCCTGAAACATTGCTAGCTTTTAATTTTCAGAAGTAAATGAGGACAGGAGATTGCCCAAATCCCATCCTTGGCTTTCAATGCCTGTGCGTGTGTCTTTGCAACAAGGGGGCCTTGGGGCCCAACGGTGCAAGTTTCTCCTTGGGGTGCAGTCCTGCCCGCAGAAGGAAGTGCCACTGATGCCAATGGAGCTGCTCGCAGTGCTGTGCCAGGTGGAAGAGATTTCAAAGGCTGGAGCCCTGCAGAACTGTCCGCTTCACTCACCAGGGCCTGAATTTTCTCTCTGCTTTTAATGTCAAGTAACTGGCACTGGGTGGGCTCTAGAATGTGTGACCTGTGCCTGTAACTATGGTGAGAAGCGATGGTTTTGTTACATAGGGCATTGAAACAACCCCAGAACGAGAGCCTTAAACAGTTGACATTTTTATTCCCCAAGTGAGAGGCTCAACATCTGCCTGTGCTCTGCAGCTGAGCTTGACGTTCGTGCATACCTGCGAGCAGCTTTCAACGAGGACTAACAGGTATGTGTGGAAGAGCACCGAAAACGATGAGAAAATGGTTTGGGTGACATCTCCTATCCAAAGGAGGCAGTGTCTGTAGGGGCAGTGTACCCACCTGGTGTATTAACTCTGAGGAGTAAGTTTTTTGGCAAACAGTCTTAAAAGCACTGCTGTTGTCTTTTACCTCCTGTTAATAAATCTACTTCTCAACGGTAACAGTCCCCTGGACACTTTATCCAAAGGTGTATTGGATGGCAAGCAATGATGCACAGACATTGACTTTTGGTATTATTTTTGTTCTCTTCAAATAGGCAGTCCCATCTTGAGACTTGACGGCTCATGAGTTGATGTAATTGTTTTTGTTTTGCATTTAACTGGATTGTAATGAGATTGACTTAAAATTATTAATTCTAATCAGTGATTAGAAACACATGTAAAGAATTTTATGTACAGTAGAGGAACAAAGTTACATGATTTTGAATAATGAAAACCCAGACTATCACCTATTCTAGAATTGGTTCTACTCAAAGAGTGACCTCTTACTAGCATGGACTGCACTGTTCCTGTTAAATGTCTATTGCATAATTGAATTCTTTTTTGTAGATATTGTATTAAAACCCAAGTGTCTGTATAGTTAATATATAGCTGCTTATGTGTAAATGCTATTTTAAACACTAAAAAGCTTTTAATTTTATGTGATAACCACAGTCTATGTCTTCAGTTCTTTGCACTACTGCGTTATCTTTTATTCAAGAATGGTGAAATATTGCTTGAATCTCACTCTTTTTCCCCTGCCACACTGAAGTTTTGTCCTCGACAGAAGATTCCTCAGGAGCTAATGGTAGGCAGCTGGGAGCTCTGTGATTTACTGGTGCTTCAAAAGTGCTTACAGTTCAAAGTAGGACAGGAACCCTGTCAATGTTCGTGGATAAACTGGGTCACAGATGATTGAAGTGCAGGGTCTGACTCATCCGTGCAGGTTAATGACATCTGGCTGGAAACACGAGACCCTGCCATTCATCAGAAGTGCTGTAGCTTTGAGCTAATGACTAATACATTGGTGCAGAAGTTGTCTGTTCCCTTTAAATTACCCTACCTCTTAATTACTGAGCTTCTCCCTCTCCCAGCCTGGCAGGAGTAGGTACACAGGAAAGGCTGAAGAAAGTCTGTGGCAGTGAAAGTCAGCTGGAGGATACGTCCTGTTACAAAGACATGAGCTGGAACAAGTTTTCCTGCCTGCAGACCCAGGAGATGAATCTGCTGATGGAACCCATCAGAGTATTGAGCTGTTTCTTGTGAATATTCCCATTTTCTGGACTCTGTGCACAAACTCCAGCAGAGACAAGCTAGGATCAGTAGGACACCACTTTGCAGACTCACTGGTAAGCCTTAAACCACGGTGTAGTTGTCACGCAGTGTAAGGACACCCAGCCTCCACATAAGGTCTGAGGTGATTCATGTGCAAGGAGCAACCACAGCTTGATGAGACAGATTCCCTCTTAGCTGGGAGAGCTCAAGCAGCAAAGGGAGAGACAAAGTAGTCATTATTTATGGAGGCACCCATTATGAACAACACAATTCTGTGGCAGAGTTATATAAGAGCCTATGAGAAATTGCAGCAGAGTTTCCCATATTCTCCCTTTCAAACTCTATTTGTTTTGGTCTAGCCAGCATTTTCCCACTTATGTGACTATTAAATGCTCAGAATTTTATGCTCTTGCAGCCTTTTACTGCAGAGCCTGATGGACTCCAGCTGACCTGGTATGAATTGTCTGCAGGTGACTGGATTTGGTTGAACAATTTAATCAGCTGCTTTCCCTTCCTCCCTCTTGCCTTGCTGTGCCAGAGATTGCCAGAAAGAGAAGTGATAGGGGTAAATTTGATTATTTCCTTCTCTGTTTCTGGAACGATGATCAAAAGTTACTGCTTCTCTGCTATGAAATGACAGCACTGAAGTGAGGAGTACTGCTGAGACTCTCAGGTGCAACAGTATGCTCATGGAGTTGCTGCAGGCTCCAGAAACAAGGACTTCCAGGCTTCAGGTCAGATTTTTGCTCTCTTTAATCACACCGAGGAGTACTTTTGTCAAATATTTCACCTTTTTCACTATGGCAGGAGAGTTTTATATGCAGGTGGCTACAGAAATCTAGGACAGCTGCCTTTGCAGTGCATCAAAAAGCTCGCTCAAGAATGAAAATATTGCCTGCTTTAGATTAATTTGCAAATTATTTTATTGAGCTGAATTGATGAGTAAACTTCCAATAAGTAAGCAGTGTTTCTGGTGGTCTTTGCATGTTTTCTGTGATGGGAGGAACCTTTTGCTGTGACTTTGGATAGTGTGATTTGCACACCATTCATTTCCCTGTGTCTTGGCCGTATTTCCATGTTCTTTGCAAACGCACGTTAATGAAACACAAATGAGTGAGTTGAAATTTGAATGGGTAATATACTCTTGATATCATGCATACAGCTGCCTTTAGACCAGAATGATTTCTATGGATTTTGTGACAAAGTAGTCAAGAAAATTTAAAAATGTTTTTTTTTTTCCATAGAAAACATGACTTAAGAGAAATTGAAACATTGACTTTGAAGAGTTCAGCTTTTTATTCCACAACAGTGATAGCAAAACTGAATTTCATACTGAAAAAGTGTGAAATTATGAGAAATATTTCCATTGTAATATTCAACTTTTACAATATAGTTTATCTGAAGAGGTTTATCTGAAGAGGTTATCTCAGGTTTACTGAGATTCTGACTTGGAAAGAAATGGAAATCTCTTGAGAAACACAAGTTGCTGTTTGTGTTTTGTCTCAACACTCCATGATACCTAAGGGCCAGTTCTCAGTTCATGTGCTGAGGATGTCGTGAACTGGAAGAGCAATGGTTGTCGTCAGGAGCCGTGCTTAGCCTGGTATGTTCTGGCACAAAACCTTATTTAGGGCTGGCTAAGGATCCTGGTGGCCATTAGAGCCATACAGTTTCACGACTTAGATGGTGCCAAGTTTGCATTGACCGTACCATCAGAGAAGAGACCCAGAGCTGCAGGATGTCATTGACTCCACTTTTAATAAAGCAAGTGCACAAACACACATAGATGTGTACAGTCTGCACTTAGAGCAGTGTGCAGGACCTTTGGTCCTCCCTGTCTGTTACCTCCCCCTCCTCAGCTCCTCCCAGTATCTCACAGGAGCTGTGATTTGTGGTGTTGCTCGCTAGGTCTTCATAGAGGATGCTGTGTAGACAGGTACTCGGTATCATTACCTAATCACAAGGATTTCTATTTGTGGTCTGTAATCTCACATCTCTTCAGATGATTCCCTTCTGTTTTTCTAGTTATTATTTCTGTGCTGTTGAATATACTTGGAAGTTCTTACAAGACCTGGGAAAGGATTAATGGATCTCTGGAGCAGTTATCTAGCTAATAAGAAGTGGAAATTACCAGTGGTCTTTACAGGAACGCTCTGGGTGAGACTTCTAGGTCAGATTGCCAGACCTGAGAGAGATTCATATGAAATATCAGTACAGTTGTTTGCTTCACTGAACCTGCTTTTGGCTCCTTGCATGTGATGAAATGGGTGGTTAGCTCCAGAGAGGATGGGTACAGCTCTGCTGGGGCCGTTTTGCTTTAGCTCACTGAGTAGAGCCCTGTGCTTCTGCAGCTTAACAATTCTGGTCCTAGTGTTCAGCCTAGGGGATAAGGCTGTATTTTTATGGTGATTGTGCCTGGGCCCATAGCTTATAGAGTCATCATAAACAAAATTATTAAAATACAGCCAGCTTCTACTAAGGAGGAGCTGACAACAGATCTGGTTTATTGCCCGTTTATTGAGAATCCTCCTCTGGCTCCTCTTTGACTGAATTCTGGAAATAATCCACTGTGTTCAGATCAGGCTTAAGCAAGATGATGTAGCATTTAGGGATGTAGTAGGCCCCCAGGATACCCACACTGGTTGTCAAAATGGTACCAATCTGAGTAACAGACCTGAGGACTGTCTTCAGCGTGGCGAAAATAGCAATGAAGAAGATCCAGATGATGAAGTAGATGAGGATGGCAAACGTGATCCCCCTGGCAACGTTGTACTTCTTGCCAGAAGTCTGCACCATGAACGTGCACAGGAAGCAGACGAAGGCCACGCAGCCGTTGTAGCCATGCAACAGGGCAAAGGCAAACCAGGACTTTGTGTTACACACCAGCAGAACTTCAGTGGGCAGTGACTTGTAATCAGCCACCAGGTAGTCAGGGCCCAAGCGAAGGTAGCAGAGACAGAACAAGGTCTCAGTGAGGAGGCACAAAGCCACAAGGAGCCAGGCCCTCCTCTGGGTCACCCAGTGCAAGAAGGTGGGGGCACAGCGAGGGAACTCAGTCACAAGGATGATCTCGAGGGACTTGATGAAGAAGGTGGAGAAACAGCCATTGAGGCACAGGGCATAGACTATCTGCTGGATCATGCAAAGATGGTTACTGGGCTTCCCTATATAGAGGCAGCAGCTGAGACACAGCAGCATGAGCGTGAACAAGGCAAAGAGGTTCAGTTTGCCCCCAGAAGCTTGCACGAGGGGAGTCTCGAGGTTCTTCACAAAGAGCACTGCTGTCAAACCAGTCAGGGATACGGTGATGGACATCAGCGTTAGCAAGGCGACGGTGAGCGGCTCGTCCCAAAAGAGGTATCTCTCGCTGCGGTCATAACAGCGTGTGCTCTGGACAGGGGACCACTGGTGCTCTGGGCAAGGGGTGCAGGTGGAGCTGTCTGCAAAGTAGCAGTGAGAAGTTGATGAGCACCTTGCAGCGGAGTGCAGCCATGAATTGGGTAACTGGTTTGGGTGCTGCTTTGCCTATTTCCCCCCTTCACAACTGTATTGGATCTCCAGTGCTTGTGATAGTTCAATCTCCTTTTTTGCCTCTACTTCTCCACCCTCCTCCTAAAAGGATCCACATATTTCTTGGCTCCCTTTCCCTTCCCCAGGAAGGATCACCAGCTCCCAAAAGGTCCCAGAATTCCATCATACCCTTCCCTCTTACTTCTTGAGATAAAACATACCCATTGACCTTGTGCATTCCCTTTGGGATCAACAGAGAAAGGTTTCCCACTGAAGATCTGTAGAGGAAGGCTGAGCAACACACAGCAGAAAAGGGAGGAAAATACTCTGCCCTGGCACTGCTTCATGGGGGAAGAGCTCACAACTGGTCCTTACCAGCTCTGTGTGACCTCAACCGGTGCATAGACATAACACAGACAGTTAAAGCTATTGAATTTTTCAGATCTCACCTTTACTGCTCCAGAAGGTGTTTTCTGGACAGTCTGTACAGTCATAGCAGCAGAAGTGGAACCCCTTTATTTGCCTGAATTGTCCTGGTTTACAGTGTCTGAAGCACTCTGATGTGG